GTTTTTTTTTTGTTTGTTTGTTTGTTTGTTTTTTTTTGGTTGGGTTTATTTTATCTTTTTGTCTTACTTTTTTTATAATTTTTGCTTTTTGAAGAAAACAAAAGACAAAGACAAAGAATAAAGCTCCTGAAAAATTAAAATGTTAATTAGGGCCCTACTGAAGAGCATCTTGGGTGAGGTAGACTCTCGGCTAAAATCTCATAATTTTCATTTTTTTATCAATATGTTATTATAGTCGGCTCTTCGGCCACTAGGAATCACCTCCATTAAACACAGCTCCTAGCTATTCAAGAATCTTTATGATGTAAATAGTAAACCATCATAACGGAGATAACGATGGGTGATGCGGCTAGAAGTTGGCACACTGACTCTTTTTGCATCATCTTTTTGCTCTTTTACAGCATATGCACTATATTTACGTATGCCCTACGGTTTAGACAAATAAAAAAGACGATTAAATATTACCTTTTTTATCCCCCTTTTAGAATAAAATGTTGAAACGTATGAAATTTACGCCCGGTCAAGTTTTATGTTACAACCTTAACATCTAACCTTAATAAGGACTCGCGGATGATCACTGCTCAAACTCGCAAATTACCTAATGGCGTTTAAATCTAACTTAAATCTGGCGGCCCATGAAATCAAATACTGTCGCGGTTACATAGCTTTTTGGCATTGGCACTATTAAATGCGGCATTAAAAAGTTGTTCCGGTAAAATCATGGCTTAAAAAGTAAGTGTTCGAAATACCGGAGAGATGTCTGAGTGTATAATAGAAGCAGAGATTGCATGAAGTTTGGCATCTCTCCATGTCTCTCAAACCACAAGAACAGCCTGCAACCATAATTGCATGTCGAACGACATATTTCCTCATCTTCATCCCTACTTTTATGACTGTTTTTTATGATTCTTAGATTTCTGGATCTTCTTCATACTGGCCCGTCTCGAAGTAAATATTTCTCTTAGTCTAAGTCGATAGCTTTCAATAAATGTAAAGCACATGGATGGATTCACGAATGAAGTAAATTTGAGACCACAAATTGCAAAAACTGACCATATAACACCTTTACCCAGACAGGCCATGGGAACTTCATCTTGAAGACTGGTCACCGCCATTATGATATAAAGAACAGCGCAAAGAGTAAAATCAACAGCAATGTACCACTTCATCTTTATTGCTTCCCTTTTTTCCTTCATCGTTGTCTTTTTTCGATGAGCGTGAAAGGGTTGCGTTTCTTCTTCTTAACGTCACTGCTATGACAGAGTACAAGTACAAGAGTACAAGTTAGATTTATATGATATCCTGAAGGTGACGCCTTCAAATCCTGTTTACATATTCCTTAAACTTCATATTTAAGCACCAGTTACAACTAACGCAACGCGAAAGTAGGACTTGCGTTTATAAAGAAACACTGGATACTTTTTCCAAGGAAATTGTTATGAGGATAGCTGATCGGAGGATTTTGGTTTGTTTCTTTATCGTTCTTTTCGCACTCATATCTTAAATAGTGGTCGCCTTTTAAATCAAGTTTTTTTTATTTTCCTTTTATAAAGAGATTTCTGTTGTTCGATCTAGTATAAGCTGCACGCCATCTTGTCGCTTCTATAAATCATTGAGAATAAAATTTTGTTAATGAAACGGTCTGAGGCCAAATTTAAAAGCGAAGCTGCTAGCTCGAATAACTATCTAAATAATTGAAAAAAATGGTTTAGAACCATCATATCAATATCCAGAAAAGAGGGCCACCAGTTTACTAGTTTCTGTAACTATTCCGTGCTACCCTCTTTAAATGTAGTGCATTACTATTATTATTATTATTATTATTATTATTATTATTATTATTATTGTTATTATTATTATTATTATTATCATCATTATTATTATTAATTAACAAGTTCACTGCATTATATATGATGCTGTTGTTTTTGGCATCTTTTCGCTTGACATAATCACCATCACCATAAATAAGAAACCGGCCTACGTTTTGATTAAAATTCAGTAGTCGCGCAGAAATATTTAATTTCTTCCCACAGAAACAAAAAATCTTTTAAGATATAAATGCGTTCCTCTAATAATTTCTATTTAAGTTCTGCGCCGTATGAATGGAAATTCTGAGAAACTGGGCCTTCATCAAAATTTAGGTGTGAAGATTCTAAACTTATGGATATACAAAGAAGAACATATCGAGGGCTAAATACAGATTGTGTTCACGCTTTTACGATTTTCTTGGCACATAATGGCTATAATGTCATTCCACAGTTTCACGCTTCAAACGAGTAGTTGAAGTACGAGTTTGAAATTAACAAACCTAAACCTTTATGAATCATAATTTTTGAGTTACGTGCTACCCCTTAATTAATAATAATAATAATCAAGTGAACATGATTCATCATCATTATTGTGACTTTCATTTAAAATGGTCGCTATCTTTCTTTGCAATTGACAAAAAAAAGGAAAAAAGGACATGATAAAAGTAATGGCACCATATAGTCCAAGAGAACTATCCATAAACAGAGAGTTGCCTGCTTATGGAGGTTTCAGTTCATTTGACGGTAAATCTCCTTGTCCTTTCCTTTAACTGCCATGTTTATTATTTTCTAGATCTTCTCGACCCCCACCGTAATTTCTCCCAGTAAATATTTCTCTCACTCCACGCCGATAGCTTTTAACAAATGTGAAACAAATGAATGGATTTACGACTGAAGATAAGTACATGCCAAGAAGAGCCAAAAACCATAAAACATTATTAACGAAACAGGATAAATCTGGAGCTTCACTTTGAAGACTAGCTATTGTCAGAATGGTGTAGACAAGAGCGCACAGGTTAAACGTAACTATGATGCAAAGGCTCATCCGTATAGCTTTGGTTTTCCTTTGACTATGCTCTTTTACTGATGTACATTGAAGAGTTTTGTTTTGCCTTCGCAAGGTCACTGCTATTGCAAAGTACAAAATGGTAACTAACAGCAATGGAGTTATTGTTAAAAGGACAACACGCCCATATCCAAAAGTTTTGTGTAGCATCGAATTCTCTCTTATGCAGTAAAAATTTCCACCATCTTCAACTAACTTAGTGCTGTACAAATCTGTTGAGTTGATTAACACTGCCACAACCCAAGTGGACGCGATTGCAAATGCACGAAATCTTGAGGAAATAAGATTCGCTTTCAGTGGCAACACGACCGCCACAAATCGATCCAGTGCAATCCAAAGAAGACTTTGCACAGAGACGGTTAATGAGGCAGGCTTCAAAAACTCACTAAGCTTGCAAGAGATCAAACCAGGTAAACCTCTGATGGGCCATTGTAGAGAATTTGTCGCGATTCCAGCCAAACTAAATGGAATAGACACCAACGGGAAAATGAGATCGGAAACCGCCATGTTAACTATAAAAAAGTTAATCGTCTTCCTTAGCTCTTTTCTCAAACTAACCACAGTTATAATAATAACATTTCCAACCAAGCTACAGATCAAAATTATAGACAAGAAAATTAATTTGCAAATTATCACAAAAATAGGTTCCGCCAAAAATTTACAAACTTCCTGGTTTAAGGAATTGTTAGTATAATTTGCAGACATGATGAAAATTCTGAGGATAGTCACTCGCGTTTTTTGACCCTTTGTTTGAAAACAACAGTTCTCTTAGGAGTCGGAACCAGTTTTGCATAACAAGAATTGACTTTTTTGAGTAGCTTCGTTCCTCCATTATACGATTGCATAGACATGCAAATTTTAATTTCAAGACCACATCATTAAATCTTATACCCAATCATAGTTTTAAAAACAACACGTCATTCGTTGCAACTAAACAAATGGCGACGTTTTGCTTGCAATGGGTAAAAAGGCACTAAACTGAAATTGTTTCTTCCAATGAAAATGTTTTGACAACCAGTAATCAAGGGTTTTGGGCTGCCTTTCTTCGTAGTTTACTGAAGATTATTGACACGCTAAATTCTTTTTATTTTAAGGTTTTTTTTTTTTAAGTCTATAAAACAGATGTTCACAGGCTATTAAAATTAAAAAGCTCACTTTATTTCAATATTGACCCTGATGGAAATGAAACCCGGCCGTTTTAACCTTATACTAAGCTAATGACTCCTATCCAAAACCTGAAAAAAATGCGTTTCAGATTTCGAATTTTCAAATTTGGCCCGTAAAAGAGCCGGTTTAGGTAACTCTTGTATTTTGTTTACCGAGCGTGAGTTTCTAAATTAATGCTTTCGCATCACAGGGTAATAAAGGAAACGTATTGAATGAATGTAAGATTTTGTCATGAGTATGTAACTAAATTATTACTGAACAACTACGTACTTTTTATCGCCGTCAAAGCTTTTAGAAATATCGCTATGAATCGCTCTGACTCTCATATCTGTCGAAACTTCATTATTGCCAAATATATGTGCATAAGACGTCTACAACACACGCCCCACATCATAGATGAGTCTTTATTAATTTTAAATGGTCCGGATGTACTTGCATGCTTTTAGTTGCCTATATTAAAACGAAGACACATTTTGCTAACCCTTCGCTTCGCTATCAAATATTAGAGAGATTTAGCGTCGCGTTTACAGCAAACGGCAAACATGATTCTATATCGTGACCAAGTTTTCTCTTCACTTTTGCTTTACTGTTCATCACTTCTTCTGCCCCAAAATAAGTAGCTTCACATTAGTTATGTCTTTAACAATTGTCTTGGTCTGTTTTTTTTTTTATAGCAGCAAGCTTTTTATTTTGAGAAATTCTCAACTCTGACGTTTGCAGTTTGCCTTAAGCGTCACTCTAAATCTCCCTAATATACAGAAATACATCCCTCCATCCCTGAATAAATGAGCACTTGAACAATTTCTTTGCCAAATAGTACATTGGTAAACTGAGTATCTCGATATAACGAAACCCTGTCGTATGGAACAAATTCTCTTGACCCTTTCTTATGTCGAGAAGGGGGAATTTCAAAAAGGAGGAAGATCGTATTTTTGGCATAAAAACAGACATCATCACTGCGTCCCTGGATAATTTTTTTTTTGAGTTTAAAATTACTGTCTTTGTTCGAAAAAAGGGGTACTGGGACCCATTATAAATTTATAATAATTATACAATGTAAGACTGGCTGTTTATTGAGTCCTAACCACAGCAGGTGTTACAGTTTTAAAGCAAACAATTAGACAAANCTTCACTTTAGTTATGTCTTTAACAATTGTCTTGGTCTGTTTTTTTTTTTATAGCAGCAAGCTTTTTATTTTGAGAAATTCTCAACTCTGACGTTTGCAGTTTGCCTTAAGCGTCACTCTAAATCTCCCTAATATACAGAAATACATCCCTCCATCCCTGAATAAATGAGCACTTGAACAATTTCTTTGCCAAATAGTACATTGGTAAACTGAGTATCTCGATATAACGAAACCCTGTCGTATGGAACAAATTCTCTTGACCCTTTCTTATGTCGAGAAGGGGGAATTTCAAAAAGGAGGAAGATCGTATTTTTGGCATAAAAACAGACATCATCACTGCGTCCCTGGATAATTTTTTTTTTGAGTTTAAAATTACTGTCTTTGTTCGAAAAAAGGGGTACTGGGACCCATTATAAATTTATAATAATTATACAATGTAAGACTGGCTGTTTATTGAGTCCTAACCACAGCAGGTGTTACAGTTTTAAAGCAAACAATTAGACAAAAGCTTTTGTAGGGTATGAATCTATAATGTATTAATAATAACCACTTTGCAAGCAAATTCTTACCCTAAGCGTGCCGAACAAGGCAAGAAAGATTTTATAAAACATTAGTGTATTTTTCATCGAAATATTTACCTTTTCATATATTAACTTAATAATTTATTCATTTCATCATTTATTTCAAAATCCTATTGCAGGAAGCTACGGAAAATCATCTTTAAATACTTGCCATGGTCGTCATGATGGACGGAGTCTCAGTTTTTCTTTTGTTTTGTTTTTGTTGTTGTTTGTTTGTGTTTTTTTTTCTTTTTGTCTCACTTTTTTATAATTTTTGCTTTATGAAGAAAACAAAAGACAAAGAATAATGCACAATAGGATATCGAAAAGTAAAAATAGTAATTAAAATGTTAATTAGGGCCCTACTCAAGAGCACCCTCTGGTGAGGTGGGCCCTCGGCTAAAATCCCATAATTGTCATTTTTTTATAATATATTATTATAATCAGCTCCTTGGCAGGTAACGCAAGTAGTAAACTATCATAACACCGATAACGATGCGGGATGCGGCTAGAATTTGGCACACTGAATCTTTTTGCATCTTAACAAGTGCTCTTCTTTAGCATATACACTATATTTACTTGTGCCCTATGATTCAGACAAATAATAAAGGACGATTAAATATTACCTTTTTTATCCCCCTTTTAGAATAAAATGTTGAAACGTATGAAATTTACGCCCGGTCAAGTTTTATGTTACAACCTTACCATCTAACCTTAATAAGGACTAGGGATGATCACTGCTCAAACTCGCAAATTACCAAATGGCGTAACGGTTTAAATCTAACTTAAATCTGGCGGCCCATGAAATCAAATCCTGTCGCCGTTACATAGCTTTTTGGGATTGGCACTCTTAAATGCGGCATTAAAAAGTTGTTCCGGTAAAATCATGGCTTAAAAAACAAGTGTTCGAAATACCAGAGAGATGTCTGAGTGTATAACAGAAGTAGAGATTGCATGAAGTTTGGCATCTCTCAAACCAAAAGAACAGCCTGCAACCATACTTGCATGTCGAACGACATTTTTGGAATGCGTCCTTATGAGTTAAATTTCCTCATCTTCATCCCTACTTTATACGATTCTTAGATTTCTGGATCTTCTTCATACCGGCCCGTCTCGAAGAAAATGTTTCTCTTAGTCCACGTCGAAAGCTTTCAATAAATGTAAAGCACATGGATGGATTCACGACTGAAGTAAAGTAAAGACCAGAAAGAGCAAGAAACCATAACACCTTATAACCGAGACAAGACACGGGAAATTCATCTTGAAGACCAGCCACCGCCATTATGATGAAAAGAAGAGCGCAAAGATTAAACGCAACTATAATGCACAAGCTCATCTTTAATGCTTGCCTTTTTCTTTGATCGTTGTCTTTTGTCGATGAGCATGAAAGGGTTGCGTTTCTTCTTCTTAACGTCACTGCTATGGCAGAGTACAACGCGGTGATTAGTAGTAATGGTGCGATCGATATAAGGACAACACGAAAATACATAGTTGTTTTAAGTACCAAAGAAAGATTTTTTTCTCTTGTGCAATGAAACCCGCCACTTTCCTGTATCAACGTCATCGTGTACAAATCTGTTGAGTTGATTAACACAGCCACAACCCAGGTAGACGCAATTGCAAAAGCGCGAAATCGTGAGGATATAAGAAGCGCTTTCAATGGCAACACCACCGCCACAAATCGATCCAGCGAAATCCAGAAAAGGCTTTGCACAGACACGGTAATTGAAACAGCCGTCAAAAATACACTGAGCTTGCACAAAGCCAAACCG